GTTGTGTGAATTTACATGTTAGAGTGGTCTTCCCCCCTTTTTTTTTTTTTTTTTTTTTTTTTTGTTCACTGAATAATTGTGCATGTGCTCTTAGATGTGGTTTGAACTGAGGGCCTGAAAGAGCCTTAAAAATGGCTTTCAACCCGAAAATGATGGGTTTGCTAGATGAGGTTTGAGGGTTTTTTTGGTTTTTTTTCTCCTGGTGTCCAGGGAAGGGGGGACCTTGTGGCTCTGCACAACTCCCTGACAGGAGGGGACAGCCAGGGGGGTCGGGAGAGGGAACAGCCTCAAGCTGTGACAAATTGTGGTCTAGATTGGATATTAGGGAAAAATTCTTCCCAGAAAGGGTGAGCAAGCATTGGAATGGGTTTCCCAGGTCAGTGGTGGATTCCCTATTCCTGGAGAGATTTCAAAGCTGTGTGGATTTGGATCAGTGGTGGCCTTGGCAGTGCTGGGGGATGCTCAGATTCGATGATCTCAGAGTGCTTTTCCAACCTCAGCGATGCTGGGATTCAGTTTTAAGTGACAATAATCAGATTTATGACCAGGCTGTGAGTGAGACCCTCGGTGTGCCCCGAGCCCAGGTACCCTGCAATGTCACATCTATTTTAAATTGTGGGATTTGCTGCTGATTCCTGCAGCTGCTTTGAGAGCTGAGAAGTTGCAGCAGAGCCCTGAATTCACATCAAGCTGTGGGGCTGGAGCTGCTGAGGGAGCTGAGTGCAGGAGTCAGAGTCAGCTACTGGTGACAGAGACTGTAATACAATAGTGCTGCTGCTAAGGGGTGACACAATGGAAGTGTAATCAGAAAAAAACATCAAATGAGGGCCAGGCCTTGATGAAATCACTGTGAATGAGCAGCTTTGCCTGAAGCTGAGGTTTTTTAATACAGGTGAACCTGAGGTTACTCAATTTTCAAGACAGTTGCTCGGCTGGGTTTGGTTTTCAAATGAATTATCAAGGCAATTGTAATCCAGAGAGTGAAATCTGGGTGGGAAGAAGTTTGTATTCAATTTTTTAAGAACCAGACCTTGGAGTTGTTTTGTCAAGCACTAGTACTGGGTTTTAAGGCTCCAAGAATGCCCTCAGTGCCTCCCCTTCCTGGATCACAGGATGGTTTGGGTGGGAAGGGACCTTAAAAATCATCCCATTCCACCCCCTGCCATGGGCAGGGACACCTTCCACTATCCCAGGCTGCTCCAAGCCCCATCCAGCCTGGCCTTGGACACTTCCAGGGATCCAGGGGCAGCCACAGCTTCTCTGGGAATTCTATTCCAGGGCCTCTCCACCCTCCCAGGGAACAATTCCTTCCCAATATCCCATCCATCCCTGCCCTCTGGCACTGGGAAGCCATTCCCTGTGTCCTGTCCCTCCATGCCTTGTCCCCAGTCCCTCTCCAGCTCTCCTGGAGCCCCTTTAGGCTCTGCAAGGGGCTCTGAGCTCTCCCTGGATCCTTCTCTTCTCCAGGTGAGCACCCCCAGCTCTCCCAGCCTGGCTCCAGAGCAGAGATTTTGGATGGATGCATTCCATGGAATAAGGGTGGCATTGAATTAGCACTGGGCAGCAGAAGATGCAACAATCTCTGGGGCACGACACTTTAGCAGACACTGGGAAACTTTATTGGCTTTCTGTGATGTGGGAACAAACCAGCAAAACTCTCAGGTGCAAAAATAAGAGTTGTAAATTTGGTATTAGGGAAAAGAGATTGAAAAGCTGGAGTTTCCAAAAGCATTCCAAAAGCAATGAGCTTTGGAGCAGCAGCAACCTGCAAGGAGGTGAAGTGTTCAGGATTGTATTTTGTCAAAGCTGGAGGAAGGGCTGTTTACAGACCTCTGGGATCTGCAGTTCTGAGTGGTTAATTCCATGAAGGAATGCCTGGCGGCGGGAATTCACAACCTTCATCTGTGTTTTTATCTGACATGCTGTGTAAATTCAGAACAGGCTTTGCCTGGGAGATGCTTTTTCATGTGATTTTTGGCTGGGAGAAGTTAAATAGCTCTTTTAAAATGAGATTGTTTTTATTAAAGCAATACAATAGTCAATAAAAAAATAACACCTGCTTACTCCTCTTCAAATTATGTCTAATTCAGGGCTTTATGTGTCAAATTATCTCTGCTTCACTCTGCTGTGAATGGCAACGACTTGATTCCTGATTGATGGTGGTGGCTCTTGTGGAGACAAGCAGAGCTGATCTGATAAGCTGAGCCATTCTTTGGTTTGTAATCACTTTTCTGTGCTGCAGAGATACCCTTTGTATGTTCATCCCTCTCGGAGAAAGCTGCATTGGGCTACGGATGAGGAGGTTTTGTGTGAGCAGTTGTGAACTCTTTTCATGTTACTGTAACTGCAGAAAATTTGGCTTTGCCACTCTGATAAAATTCGGGCACCTCACAGCAGGAATATCTCTCAAAACTAATCCTAATCCATTTCTTGATGACAGTGGCAGCAAGATAAAAGCATTAATGGCATGAACTTAGGATGAACTTGTGGATGTGTCTACCTGGACTTCAGCAAAGCCTTTGACAGCATCTCCCATGGGGCTTATTCCTGGAAAATCCAGCAGCCCATGGCCTGGGAAGGTTCCCTCTGGGCTGGGGGATGTTGCTGCACTTGGTGACAACAACCCCTGCAGCTCCAGCCTGGGACAGAGGGGCTGGAAAAGGCCCTGGGGGTGCTGGTGACAGTGGCTGGATACGAGCCAGGTGTGTCCCAGTGGACGAGAGGCCAAAGGCACCTGGGCTGTGCCGGCTCTGGGGTGGCAGCAGGGCCAGGGCAGTGCCTGTCCCCTGTGCTGGCACTGCTGGGACACCTCCAGTGCTGGGGACAGCTCTGGGACAAGGAGGACATGGAGCAGCTGGAGCATCCAGGGAAGGGAACAGAGCTGGGGAAGGGGCTGGAGCACCAGGAGAGGCTGAGGGAGCTGGGAAAGGGGCTCAGCCTGGAGAAAAGGAGGCTCAGGGGGGAC